TTCAGAGCCAGGGCAATTCAGCCAAGAGCGTGGGTGGCACCTTCATCCTGGCAAACTCTCTGCCCTGCGTGACTGCCTTGTGACTCAGTGACAGCAAAACCCAAATGGCCCAGAGTTTCGTTTTTTTGCACACACCGAGGCGGCTGGCACTGCCAGCAGCCTTCCTGCACTAGCAGGAGAGGTAGTGTGGTGTGACAGGAAGCGCGGAGAGTCCCAGGGCAAGCGCTTGAACCTCGGCAATCCTGGTTTCTCCAGAGAGAAAATGAAGACGTGTTTGGCAAGGCAAGCCCCCTCCTTCACATCCCGACATTTGGTACTTCACCAATCCTAAGAGACACCGCTGATCCTAGGACAATCCAGTTTTAGCGATGGTAAACCACGGCCCCACCCCGAAAGTGTACTTCTTAGAATTGAAAACAACTATAACCTACCCAGAATCTGTAGACTAAGAAAAGCTGTTAGACCACAGGCAGAGGGGCTTCCCCCACCCCTGACCTTCACATGGGGCCCTGGTATTCTGAGAGAGGTTTACACTGTCACCCACACATCGGTTGTCTCGCCAGGAGGATCTAGACGAAGGGAGAACCGGAGGCTAGCACCCCAATCGACACGGAGAACGGCCAGCTCACTGGACTCTGGCAGTGTGAGCATTTACAGTGTCCTCGGGTCCCAAGAAAAAGCCAGTGATAGTTGGAACAACAGGAGCCCCCAGAGATTCAGAGGAAATGCTGGGCGGGGGGGACAGTCACTGTGCTGTTGAGAGTCTTTCCCATGCCATCCATCCATTTCCTGTCTATTTCCCGTCCTGGAATAAGAGTGGAACGGAAACGCCCAAGGAAAGGGGATGTGACGGAGTCAGCGCAGGCAGTTCTCAATCTACCCAGCACCTGCTGTGTGCTTTTGCCTCGCTGACAAGTGTTTAAGCAAAAGCTAATTCAGCCACTTAGAAGAAAGTTAGACCATTTTACACAAGGTAAAAAATAACAACAAGCAGTATTTTTATTAGTATCTACAGTGGCCAGCACCTGGGCTTAACACTTTAGAGCCGTGATGGCAAACCTTTTAGAGCTTTCAGTGGCAACAAATAGCTGGCTGCAGCATGCCTGCCACAGGCTCAACACCACTGCAACAGAGGTACTGATACTGTATTAATGTCACAACAAATCTGTGAGGTGGG